AAAAACATTAAGAGAACAAACAGCCTTTTCATTTTTCGAATTCCAAACCAGAGGTGAACGCATTGTTTTTATTTGGTATCAGAAGAACATACAGGTATGTATTCATTGCTGGTTGCCAGGGGGGAGTGTGCGTAGAGGACCCGTCAGCTCCTCTGTGCAGTAAAGACAACAGACACGGGACTTACTGAGAGCAGTTAGCACACTCTGTTTTACATGAGTCCCTATATTTCATTTTTGCATTTGGAGATGTAACACCATGACATTTGAGATAGTTTCCGTACAAGCCAGTATCACAGGGAACAAAACATTCTTGTTTAGAATAAATGGCCGTTCTCTTGCCCTTTGATATACAAATGTGAATCACAAGCTGCCTTTTATCTGCTTGGAACATATTTCACATCGTTGAAGTCCATTCTATCGCTGCCATAAAACAGAGACCAGTCCATTGCGCCATCTTCCCTTGCAGAGGCGCATTCTGAGAACACACCCAGAGATCCCTTCCTGGTTCCGCCAAAGAACTAGTCACTTGGCATGATCTGAATTGAGGTTTGGGGTTTGGTTTTTGCTTCCCTCTTTTGAATCTTGACAAGCATTTTGACATTCATCCAGGCAGTTCCCACAAATCCAGCTGAACAACAGCAAAATCTAAGGCTGAGATGAGCTGATCTACCCATTCACATATGGCCAGCACCCTCATTAGGAGAGTGTGCACACCAGGGTGAGGGCCGCCATCTGAAGGAGAAAACCCTGATACAGCAAATGCTGTGCTCTGTGCAGAGGAAGATGCGAATAGCATTACAATGGCCTGAAGTGACTCTCCTGGCTTTGGGAAACTGAGTTCCCATGAGGATTCCCTTTTCCTGCTTCCCTTTCCCACTCTGGTCTCTTTTCCCTGACTCCTCCTACCCAACATTCCCCCAAGTGGATTACACAGGAACAAGATGCGGTTGTTTTTCCCATCATTTTGTGTTTCCCATCATGTGCTAAGACAACACTGCAAGCAGAATGGCGTGCCTTGTCAGAGGCAAAAGAAGAAATTTGCAAAAATGAGAAGAAAAGAAGGGAAAGGTCAGAGAATGGGTATGAAAAAGAGGGAGGGCTCTTAAATTAGGGGAGGGGAGAAATCTGGCTGGACAGTGGGCCCCAGAGCTGATAAAATCCTACCCGAGCTCTACAAATAAAAATAGAAACCCCCTTTTAAAACTTTTTACAGCATATAAAATTGTATAAAAATATCATCAAAGCAAGAAAAAGGAAAATGTACTAGACTCTGCAGTTCTACCTGGGCAATACCGCTGGTCTTTACTAGAAAGCTATGTATTTGGGTGTGTGGCTGTATTTCTGTGCCATCACACATACACCCAAAGACAAAGACACTGGTACACAAACCCCCAGCCCAAGATAGATCACTGACAGAGAAGCAAAGACTACAACGACCTGCCATTCCAAAGCTATTGGGTTTTAATGGGCTTTATTTAAATGAATTACCCTGCACCATGGTGTGAATGAGAAATGCTTCTGCAGCAACCAGGAAGATTCATGGGCGAGGCTCAGGAATCCTGGGTGAAGCTAACAAAGCCAAGAGCCTCCACCATGGATGGCACTGAGCCGCCTGCTACAGCCCCCAGATACCCCTGGAGATGTCAGGGTTCAATCCTAGAAGCCAGAGCAAATGTAAATTCATTTCAAATACATCTGCCAGTACTTTAACAAAACAACAACAACAGGTGAGGTGGGGGCATGGGTTCAAATAATCAGGAATAAAAAGTGAGCAAGGGGACTTTCATGAGTTTCATTCTGGGTTCCCAGTGCATCCCACTCTTGTTTAAGTAAAGACAAATGTTCTTCTGATGAAGCAGTTCTTGCTTATTGCAGACTTTCCCGGAGCATCCGGCTTGTACAAATGTCCAGTGAGATCATCCAGAGGACCCCTTCCATTTGTCTGACCTCCCTGGACCCAAATTCACTTCTCCGGTGAACTCGGCCTCATGTCCTAGACGGCTGTTTCCATTCTAATTCTAGTGGCACCTCTATGCCCATCAGTGCCTTTGATGAGAGGAAACCCTAACGCCTGAAATGTGAACTTGGCAGGTAAAGTGTCTCTTGGTTCTCGAGGGATATTTCATAGCAATAGTGCTGTTCATTACAGCTTTTCCATTAAGTTCATTTTCTAAATGATAATGGGGCCTTTTCCTCATGGATCCGTGTTGATGAATTGCAAGTATGACTTTCCATTTATTCACACGTGAGACCCAATATAATATCCTTAGTGCAGCGTTATGTTCTTTAACGTCCAGTTCTGTTGTGATTCAGAGTTGCACCGACCATGGCATCGGCAGAGCAAAACGGCACGATTCACGCTCCTCCCCCGCCCCCCCCCATGGCACGTATGGAATCTCTCTTTGCTCCAAGGGAGTCCATTTGGGGTTCTAAATGCTTCAGCTTGAATTTATAAATAAATCCACTGGATTGGTGTTATCACCCCTTTGGAAGAGCATTTTCAGAAGAATCTTGTTTTGTATTTGCTGTTGATTTTCTTAAATCCAAAAGCCATAGAGAAATTTTTATCTTTTCATAAACTTGGCTCTGACAATGTTCCCCCAAATGACCTGTAATTTCCCAACCCTCATGAAAAGCTGCTGTGTTACTACTAGCTGTATCTGCATACACTTAGAGCACAAGCCTTTAGCAATATGCTTGGCATACGGAAGACGTCAACTAAGTCTCCAGGTAAATTTGGACTTAATTTGCACTCCCAGGTGGACAGTGGAATTCAGCTGGACGGTTCTCCATGTGCCCCCTGAAGGCGGGATGCCAGGCACCATGGTGAACTCACAGCGATTCCTGGTGGAATGTGTGGGGATCTTGGTATTAGAACGAAATTTCCAATTGAGAAAAAAAAGAAAGTTCCTGGATTCCCTAAATCCCTCTACATACATGGGCTTTAACCTCAGAATCTTCTCTGTCTCATTATGAGAAAAAGATTTTTGTGCTTTTTTTCTTTTGTTTTCCCCCATTTCCATGGGGAATGTTATCAAGTAATTCCTATCATGTAAGTCTCTGATCAAGGGTTAAGAATAGAAGAAAATATATTATACAGGGCATCCCCCCAAAAATGTATACACGCCTTAACAGCTGATAGCTCAATTTTGAAAATGAAATATATTTTAATAAACATTGCCTTTATAATTATTCCAAGAGTGTGTATATATTTGTTAGGGAGACCCTATATATTCTATCTAGCTATCATCTATCTATCTATCTATCTATCTATCTATCTATCTATCTATCTATCATCTATCATCTTTGTATCTATCATCTATGTATCTAAAGAAAGGTGATCCACAATAGAAGTGGCACTAAAAGACCAGTATCTTTACTCTTAAAATATGGGTCACAAAATTAGTCTCCATCCCTTTGCTGCTCTCTGTCTCACATCCTGTGATAACATTGCTCCTTATTTTCTACTTCCCACGTTTACTAAAGGCATGATTCCAAGTGGACACATAACATCATGGCTTTAATTCTGCAAAGGAAGTAAACAGGTACACTGGAGTATCCTTTGGCTCTGAGAGGATTAGGTATCATTTTATTGTTTAAGTATACCAGGTCCTTAATAGGATTCTGTCAGATGTTTTCAATGGCTTTTAAAAGCTCCAAGAATGAAATGGACAGCGGAAGAAAATCCATTTGAACTTAATGGGTTAGCAACGAGTCCCTCGTGCGCTACCATAAGCTGTTTGGTAGGGCTCATAACCCAAGAAAGGTTGGTGTAAATAAAAGACGGAACAAAGACCTCCCTACGGTGGGTCATTATGCCACAGAAACATGCCACATCAACAGAACTTGAATGCAGAGCTGTTTGGTAAAATGGGGACCCAAACTCCATTTGTCACTTGTCCCCCAAGGACATGTAGAACTTGGTTTGTCAGCGGTGGGAATGTCCCTATGCTTTCCCCACGTACCAGTCAACTCTTAATTCCAGTGTGTGAGCCCTTGCTTTCGATGAGACAATGTAACACACAGTAAGATGCCGCAATCCGAGCAATGGAAGGATGTGTGTCCCGTATCACTGCTCAACTTGGAGGAAGGTGTTTCAAGAGAACCAACAGACCATAGAAAGTGAGCTAGAGTTTCAGAGAAGTTGTTAATCCAGTCAATACGGACTTGGAATCATTATTTTAATGTTTTATCCGCTCCAGTAGCAATTCCTTGCATAATAACACATTGTTTTATGTTTTCAAAAAAATAGATCATTCTGCATTTTTACTCAATGTCCTTTCAAAACAGTTGTTAAAAGAATTTATAAATAAAAGTTACATGGAGCTTTTATTTTCCCACACAGAGAGTTCCAAGCAGAGTTCTTTCTATACTGAATGAAATTCTGTTCCCATTCCCTTTTCAGCTAATGAATGACTTAAAGAAAATGAAATATATTTTCATTCTATTGGTGCTAGAAAAAAAATGGCTATATTCCTATGTCTTTTTTTTTTTAAATAGTGTTTAGTCTTTCTCATTAGAGTATAAAAGGGAAGCTGTAGGCTTTCTATTAGGACTGGCTGCAAAGCTCAGCGTACAAAAATATGGAATAGATTTGAGGTAAAAGGTCAGGTTCCAAGTCAAGTACTGGATGTATTCTATCCCTATACCAGACCAGAACACCTCTAAGACCACAGTTTGCAAACTGATGCCCCCCAGATTGAATACAAGTCATAGGCACATTTTCTCTGACCGGCACAGTCTTTGTAAGTTTCTGAATTAGTTGCCAATATTTAAAATTTTGGAGAGGGTTCCTATAAAATCTTTATTTATCCAGACCCCCATTCCTGCCCACTGGTGTAGCTCAGTGGTTGAGCATCGACCCATGAACCAAGAGGTCATTGGTTCAATTCCCAGTCAGGGCACATGCCCGGGTTGTGGGCTCAATCCCTGGTAAGGAGCATGCAGGAGACAGCCCATCGATGTTTCTCTCTCATCAATGTTTCTATCTCTTTATCCCTCTCCCTCTAAAATCAATAACAACATATTTTTAAAGCCCCCCCACTCCTACATATCACTGATCCCATAACTGACTAGCAGCTGTCCCCTTGAGACAGGACTCTTAACTCCTCCCTCTCCCTGCCTCTCTTTCCTGCCTCCCTAACACCAAGGCCCATTATGAATTGCCAGCTATCGCAATAACTCTGATAGCTATGGCTTGCTTTGCTATGGCCCTGGTTGAATTTGTGACCACCTTGTTTACTGTGGTCACTGTTGGGAAAGTAGGGGGAGGCTCCGAAAAATGTGTGTGATTCCCAGGCAAAACGTAAAACTGCCCGAAGAGCCCTGTTCCAGTATCAGTGTGCCACAGGCATGCGCAACAGGGTTCTTCAGGCCTTTCTGTGGGGAAGGTCTCAGCGAGGCAAAGGCGTTGCAGACCACAAACATAGCCCCCCCCCCGCCCCCCTATTTCGGTCTGAAGAAATGCCAACATCTTGCCTTAGTGAGAGGATTTTTAAATGTTTGTTTTTGTGCTTTTGTAAATGTAGGAATTAAATGCGCAATGGGGAACACCCTCGGGTTTAGCATAGAGCCCTCTCTTCCTATTATGAATCCCACTCGTTCACGCGGATCCATGTGACTCCTTTTGGGAGGGACTCGCATATTCCTTTGTGAACCACAACCACGTCTTCAGAATCAGTTTCATCCAAATCACACCACTTAGGCCCATAAAATTGCTTTCCCAGCATTCCACTGGGTCTCGTCTGACTTGCTTTCAGGGGGCTGCATCTTGATTCTCTTTCCAGACTACCTCTTATTCTTGATCTGTGCTGTGAATCATCTCCTATTGGGTACCTCTAAAGGCTCACTAAAATGAACAGAATTCTCTGCCACATCTCCCTGCTACAAAGGCCCTCAGCACTTCCAGGAATAGACAGAAGAGCAATTAAGTCACAGCACAAATCTCCAAAAGAAGAGGACCCGCCAGTGGCCACAATGTCAACTCAGCGATGATGCTACCCAGTGAAACACGGGGTGTCCACCTGAATAGCATGGTCATCAGCAGAAACATTCAGGTTCTTATGAACGAATACACAGGTAAATTAAGCGTCAAAGAAAGATTGCTATAGGAAACATCTTCTTTTATAAAACAAAAAGAATCTCATAGCATATAGATGGAAAGAAAAGCCTAAGAACAATTTTTTAAGTCTGCAGGGAACCTGGCGAAAAAAAGAACGTTCCTGGCTCCGGAAAGGGGCAACCAGAGGCTGGGCGGGAAGCCGGCCCGGTTGTCTCCACCATCGGCAGCCCGTGCTAAAATCACGACGCGAAGTAACGGCATGGGCAGTAATAAAACGGCAACTGCTGTGTGTGTGGCCTCTTCAGGCCTTTCTCAGCATCTCCATGATGTCCACTGTCATCAGGCCAGATGGGTGCCTTGAAAGCCAGGGCATTAGCAAAGGATTCTGAGGAAGTCCCTTCATGTTTTGGTTCTGTTTGTGCAAAATCTCAAGTGGTTTTGTTTGCTGGGGGTTGGGGGATAAGGACCATCTCCCAGAGTTCTAAGGCCCCCAAGCCAGCTCCCAGCCAGTCATCTGGGAGGAGATGGCATGAGACAAGGCCAAGTGTGGGGGGCTTGTTTTTGAAAGTTGCACGCCATCCCCAGCTTTGTGGAAGGAGGAGGAGGAGGAGAATGAAGAAGCTCAGCTAAAATGATGCAAGACATTGGCAGCCTCTCTTATTGTCTGGGAGGTGTTTTTTACTCTTCTGAATCTGAAAAAAAGAAAAAGAAAAAGAAGAGTGTCAATGCTGCCTTTCCCCCCCTTCTCCACCCACCAGGTCTGAAGAGAAGAAAATCTGAGGGGCAGAAAGGAGTGGGGGGCATCAACTAAACATTTCAAGGCTAGTCGTGGCTGTCTCCTTTGTAGCATAATCGCTCTATTCATAAAGGGAAAATCTCAGTGGAGAATTGTAAACACAGATCACGTTTGAAACCTTACCAATCACTTGAAACTAGATCACCAAACATTTGGCTTGTGCACTATGGATATTAAGACACCTGATTTTGCCATCAAGATGACAGTGATGGCCAACTCTAGTCCATCTGCTTCAGAGGTCAGATTCATCTAATGTCAACAATTTCAATGCCAAAAGCAATGTCCCTCTATCACAGGGATGGGGAACGCTTGGCCCTGGGGCTATATAAGGCCCACAAAATCATTTGGTCTGGCCCTGCCAAGACGTTAGGAGTGAGTTAATTAAATGTTTGACCAAATAGAGTGGGCTAATTTTTTTTAAGTTGATAATTTTGTATGGCCTGCAAATGATGTTAAAAATATCCAAATGGCCCTTGGCAAAAAAAGGTTCTCACCCTAGGAGTTTCCCAAAATATTTAAAGCAAGATGTTAAATTCATTGTGCAGATGGGTAAATCCCCTGAATTCTCCACTGGACCCAGAGTGAGGTAGGAGAGGAAGAAGACACAGATGAGAGAGGACCAAGTGAATGGGAATAGACAATATTGGGTTTTTCTCACTGGCCTACTCTTTAACACATAACCTCAATGAACTTAGGACAGAATTTTATAAAAGCAGGCAAACAAACAAGAACCACTATGTTATTGTTTCCCATGTGTGCTGCATGCTCTGCACATCCTCATGTCTCAGAGTTAGGAGGGTTTCCTCCAGTGCAGGGCTCCAAAGGGATGGGGGACTTTAAGAAGAATAACACCATCATCTACAGAGATGTTAGGAGTCCGTAGAGGACAAGGAAAGTTCCCCACTCAGAGTTAAAGTGTAAGATACTCTCCTAAATAAGACTTAGTCTAAGTCAGGGAACAAACTCGTTGAGGGACAGGACAACCCTCCCTGATCTATTAATTATGGTGGAGTCTCAATTTTCCTGGGGCCATTGAGCCAGGCCTCTTTCTCCATTCTGGTGTATGTTTACCCTCCATTAGCACCTTCACCCATCTGGGAGAAATAACGGGAAAAAGAAAAACTTCCAACCAATCACTGCACTCTGACACTAGCATTACCAGTGAGGGAAATTGCCCGTCTCATCGCTGGATCTTGTCAGAGAGGGAAAAGGGAAACACAAGCTGAAATCAAGGGTTAGAAAATTTCCACTGTGTCTGCTTTTCTTTGCAAAGCTTGGTCCACATCGGATCTGCCAGATGGGACTCCTCGGTTCTCTGGACCTGTCAGCAGTTTGAGGTCATATGTAATAAGACTCATTTTAGATGGTCATCATGGTACTAACCATCTTAGGAGATGTCCCAAGGCCCTCGAATGTAAAACCCAATTTTGCTATGATGATATAAGGCTAGTTTAATTTTTAAATAAATGACCAATTGGATGAAAGGAAACCAGGGGAAGATACCTGGAGATGGCTGACCTGGATCACTGTTACACCCAAGGCATCTCAAGTATCCAATAAGGAAAGAGTGTCTCCTTCATGTAGTCTGGGTTAGTAGAGACCCGCTGTTTAGACTGTTGGGTCCCAGAGATGGAAAGAGGGCCATCTGGGTGTTAATGGCCACTAGGAGAAGATGATCCTCCTTTTCTAGTCATTGCTTATGAGAGAGGTGGTGGAGTGGCTGCTATGGATCTTCACCCTCCCTCCTCCACCTCCAGGGATGGAGGGAAAGAGTTGGTCAAGAAGCAGGGGGAAGGGGTAAGTAAAGGAAGCTTGTATATTTGAGCTGTGTCTGTGTTCATTGTCATGAAGTACAACCAACAGTGAAAGAGCAAGAGGCAGATATTTCATAGCTGAGACTGTGGCCTGAGTGACCATCCCTAGTTTTCCCAAACACATGCATTCTCTACCGCAGCGGTTCTCAACCTGTGGGTCGCGACCCCTTTGGGGGTTGAACGACCCTTTCAGGGGGGTTGCCTAAGACCATCGGAAAACACATATATAATTACATATTGTTTTTGTGATTAATCACTATGCTTTAATTATGTTCAATTTGTAACAATGAATTTGGGGGCCACCACAATATGAGGAACTGTATTAAAGGGTCGCAGCATTAGGAAGGTTGAGAACCACTGCTCTAAAGTAACTTTTGTTTATGAATCTCTTACTTATTCCAAGGAAACTAGTGTCATAGCTATCTGCAGGGAGAAGTTCCAACCAGACTCCTTGACTAGGCAAGAAATATCTTATTTATCTTTATAACTCTTCTTACATGTAGTGCAATGCCTGACACATAGCAGATGCTCAACAAATATTTTTTAATTGAAAGGAAGTAAATTAAATAAGCACGAGGCAGATGGGACAGATATAGGCATAATGATGAGTAGGGAGTTGCTCTCCATTCTTTTTCTCATGTTGACTTTTATTACATTAGAAAGAAAATCATAAGTACACTGACTTTTATTTTATTCAATTGCAAAGCATGATATGTCAAAAATTTATATTTCCTATAAAGAAATAGCCTCACTGCCAGTGGCTTTGTGTGGGCTAAACCTCCTGGAGAAGGTGCACCTGCTATGCAGACAGCTGTGACAGGGTCTGTAAATCACATCTGCCCCTCTCCTTACTTCACAACTCTTCTCCTGAACTTCAAATGTCCTACACTTGCTTTGTTATACTTTGGTTTTGTGTATTTGTTTTCAATTTAAACTAAAATTGCAGAAGCATTTTAAACTCAAGGTGGGTGAGACTACAATGCATATGAAAATGAGGATCTTAAGACAATGTATAAGAAGCCACTCTGTGTTTAACTGAGCTACGTGACTACTAGTATTTTTGTTATCGCTGCTTTGAATTCCATTAACTGTAAATATATGTTGGCTTTTAGGAAGCCACAAAAAGTAGTTCAACTCACCCACTTTTTAAAGAGTGATTGAAGAGCCAAAATGGAAAGTATTTTCACCCAACATGAAATAATTCAGGAAAGGATCTAAGCAAGGTCAATCCCCTTTCCCTCCCCTTGACAAGACTTCTGACATCTCACAAAGGGGCAGCCACCGGGGCTCTGAAGCCTCAAGTGTGTGGTTGTATAAATCCACCGAAATGTATCTACTCTGAGGGCCTGAGTAGTGAAGAATATTTCAGCAACTTGATTTAGAGAAATGGGAGATGGAGATTTACAACAACGTGGCCCTGTTGGTTTCACCCCTCCGTCCTCCTGCCGCAGGGAAGTGGAGACGCTGACCTAAACCATTTGATTTAAAGATCACTGTCTTAAGAAGCATCAAGTTCAAGTTAACATGACTTGACTCTTTTTTTTTTTTTAAATATATTTTTTTTATTGATTTTTTACAGAGAGGAAGGGAGAGAGATAGAGAGCTAGAAACATCGATGAGAGAGAAACATCGATCAGCTGCCTCCTGCACATCTCCCACTGGGGATGTGCCCGCAACCCAGGTACATGCCCTTGACCGGAATCGAACCTGGGACCCTTCAGTCTGCAGGCTGACGCTCTATCCACTGAGCCAAACCGGTTTCGGCCATGACTTGACTCTTAAAATGTGTTTACAGATCATCATGTTTATTTCTAGGTCACAAGCTGAGCATCTATGAGGTGGCCTCATAAGAATCTGGCACTGGACTTTAAAATTCTGTAAACACTTCTTATTTTTCTTGGGTTTGATTTTTTTTAAAGCCTAACTATTACCCAGACTCAAAGAAGTAAGCTGATTTGGCTGAGTCCCAGAAACTACCACAGCTGCCTCCCTGTAAAGTCAACTTTCTACAAAAACAACAAAGTGATATGGTAAGCTACAGAAAGAACGGTAAAAGTTAAAAGGAAAAAAAAAAAAGAATAAAATTGGGGAAGAATAGCCCAGCTGCTGTGGCTCAGTGGTTGAGCATCAACCTATGAACCAGGAGGTCAGGGTTCAATTCCCAGTCAGGGCACATGCCCAAGTTGTAGGCTCCATCCCCAGTAGGGGGCGTGAAGGAGGCATCGATCAATGAGTCTCATCATTGATGTTTCTATCTCTCTTCCTCGTCCTTCCTCTCTGAAATCAATAAAAAGATATTTAAAAACAAAACAAAACTGAAGAAAAATAAATGTGGTAAGACCAAATCCATTTTTAAACGTCTAATAGAATTTCCATGGGGCTTATGTGTGGGTCCTGGTTTGGTTTTGTTTTTAATGATGAGGAAATACTACACAAAACAAATAAACATTATTTTAGAAATAGTTGTTAGGATTTAGTCAGGCATAAATTTCAGTATTCTAGGTCATAAGTATTAAACACCTATTTTAAATGGCTATAACCAAATACCCAAAAGTATGAAAGAATGCTTACTCCTTGCCCTAATCGATAGAGGATGTGATTATAGATAGTAAGATTATTCTAAATTAATTTCATTGCATATAATATCAATGCTATAGCCCTACTAGGATGGATGGGTGGATGGATGGATGGATGGATGGATGGATGGATGGATGGATGGGATAGATGATAGATAGATAGATAGATAGATAGATAGATAGATAGATAGATAGACAGACAGACAGACAAACAGATAGATTTGTGAGAATATAATTTCCTGAAACCTGCCTATGCTATCACCTTCTAAAATGTACCCATTTGATCCAAACATACAAAATAAGAATAGTACAAAGGATGGTAATTATTAAGTCCAATCCTGTGTTCTTTCTTTGTCTTTCCTTTGACCTACACATGCATGCCATCACTGAGAATAATGATGATGTCAAACTTTTATTCTCTAATTTTTCTGCCTTCTCTCTTCCTTTACACAGCATAGGCTTTCTGTCCACACTAAAATATGTGAATACCCAGAAATTTCACTTCT